AGTTCAAAGAGTTCAAGAATGAAGTGGAGAATCAATTGGGCAGGAAAATCAAGATGCTTCGATCCGATCGAGGAGGAGAGTACCTAAGTCTTGAATTCCACGATTATCTCAAGGAGTGTGGAATAGTTTCGCAATTGACGCCTCCTAGGACACCGCAGTTGAATGGTGTGGCAGAAAGGCGTAATCGAACCTTATTGGATATGGTTCGCTCTATGATGAGTCGTGCTTCACTACCTATCTTCTTTTGGGGGTATGCCTTAGAGACTGCCGCCCATATCCTTAACCGAGTCCCTACTAAGAAGGTTGCCAAAACACCTCACGAGATGTGGACAGGGAAAGCTCCCTCGTTGGCACATATCAAGGTTTGGGGTTGCGAGGCTTTCGTAAGACGAGATACTCACGACAAGCTTGAACCTCGAAGTGAGCGATGTATTTTCATCGGCTACCCGCAGACATCCTTTGGATATCTCTTCTATAGACCGAAAGACAATGTTGTCTTTGTTGCGAGGAGAGGAGTTTTCCGAGAGTTAAAAACTCATAAGCCAAGGAGACAGTGGGAGGCAAATCGAACTTGAAGAGATTCAAGAGTCGATAGATGAAGGAACCTCTACCGCTGGCATTCAACCCGAGGAGGAAACTCCGGTTGAACCGATTGACGAATCCTTACCTCTTAGACGTTCCGATAGAGTTAGAGTTCATCCCCAGTTTTATGGTTTTCATATTACTACCGAAGGGGACACGTATATTAGTGATGGTACACTAGTAAATCTTGATGAACCTAATAGCTATAAGGAAGCCATGGCAGGCCCGGAGTCTGCGAAATGGAAAGAGGCAATGGATAGCGAGATCCAATCCATGTACGATAACCAAGTTTGGAATTTGGTTGATTATGTGCCCGAACGTAAGACCGTTGGGTGCAAATGGATCTTCAAAAAGAAGACCGATGTGGATGGGAACGTACACACATATAAAGCGCGATTGGTCGCGAAGGGCTTTACTCAAACTCCCGGAGTTGACTAAAACCCATCACTGTTATCATGGGGTAATTTCGTATTAGCAGTCAGAGATGGAAAATGTTGTAAGACTACGGGGCAGCGGTAGCATTCACTAGCAGTCAGTGGTGGAAGTTGTTATAAGACTACGGGTAAGCCGTAGCATTCCATAATAGCTTCGTTAGCGGAGTTGGGGCGAGTCCCTTATCTCCTAGTGATCAGATAGGGATCAGGAATGGGTAGTGTATGAGAATAGTAGGGAGCTTGCCTGTATAGCCCTAAAGAGGTGAGACCTTGGGAGAGACCGCTCCAGGATGTAGTTGGGTAAGACCCGTGGGCGAGGCCCGTATGAGAGTAGCAGTATAGGTGAGGCATGGGAGCAGGGTGCTCGGTAGTATGGTTGGGTAAGACCCGTGGGCGAGGCCCGTGAGTTGATACAAGATTAAATATAAAAACGTAAAAAAATGTTATAAAATTTCAAAGTGTCTTCAATTCTACATGTCTAGATAGTCACATAATCTTCAAATCTAATACATGAACATTAAAAACATGATTAATACAAGAACACTCACAATGTATGCATGTCAACATATGTAGATGTGCACATCAACACATACACATATTTATACACATGTATTCACATATGGATAAATACATATGTATACATTATTTATGCAAATATACTAATGTTATAAAAATCAATAAATGATACTAAATTGGTCAACTAACAACTATATATTAATAAACTGAATAAGAGACTAGGATTTGAAAATTAACTGTATTGCATTATTTAGTATTATATAGTCGTAAAACAAACATAGCAATTTTTATACCAATTTTATACCCACTTTTTTTAATATATATAATTTTTCTTAATATTAATATAGTCGTAAAACAAAAATAGCTAATTACGAAAAAAAAAGCAATATATTTTTCCAAATGTTCAGATTTAAGCATCGGTTTAGTCTTGACTAAAAACTTTTTAAAAAAATAAAAAATAAAGCACTTAAAAGAACATAAAACAAAGTTTAGCTTTAATAAAATATTTAAAAATAAAAATAAAATTTCAAAATTCAGGGTCTAATTTAGTGTGAATAGAAGTTTAGGGTCTAATTTAGCATGCCACATAGGTAAAGGAACCAAGTAGCCGGCTACAATAGATCGCAAGGGACAAATCGAACAAAAAAATGAGACTTTAGAATCAATTTAGCATGATTAGATTTTCAGTGGCTAAATAGAGTCAATTTTGATTCGATGTCAAAAAAGTCAAAACTCCTTTTTTCTATTATCATATTATGTAAGATGATACAAATACACATGTCTTGCATGTATTGTTTGGATCCCATGCTCATGTCATTTGTTTCACAATGTGTTATTTTTTTTAAGGACTCCAAAATCCGATTCCAAGTCCTTTATTGTTGATTCTTGTGTGCCGTGAACAATTTTTGTTTTTCATATGCATGTGCTTTGAAAAATGTTGCGTAACCACGACATATCTCATTAGCAAGGTAATATACATACTTATAGTGATTTTCATTCACTACAAATTAAAATTCATGAGCTTTGCATGTTATAATATCTTTGAATATCGATGACTAATTAAGAACATTTATGACATTGATGGACTCGATAACACCAAAGTATGCATGTCGAAACCAAAGATCTTTTGACGCCATTACTTTTAGTATTATCGTTGTGATTCCATGATCATCTCTTTTTGATTGACCTCTCCATATATCTGGACAATTTTCTCACACCCAGTGCGTACAATCAATGTTTTCAAACATTCCTTGGAAAAATTGTATTGGTTTATGAGTCGCGAACAATTGTTCAACACCACTTCTTGTAAGTAGGGGTGTTCATAACCGGATATCCGAAAATTCGGATATCCGAAATTTCGGATAGTTGATTTTTGGTATCCGATTCCGAATCCGAAATTTCGGATATCCGAAACTTCGGATACGGAATCGGATACCAAATCGGATATCCGAAAAATTGAAATTTTGTTAAAATTTGAAAAACATATGAAGTTTTTAAGTTAAAAATACATATTTTTAAATTAGAAAGGCATATGAAGTAATATAGGTATTTAATTAAGGGTGTTATCAATATGTTTTAGTTACTAAAATTCATATCATAAGACACATGCGACTAAAATAACAAATAATGTATAAAATAAAACAAAAATTTTCGGATATCGGATATCCGAATTATCCGAAAAATCTGAAAAGCATTATCCAATTCCGATTCCGAAAAATTGGATATCCGAAATTTCGGATATCCGATTTTTCGGATAATTCGGATTCGGAATTTCGGAATTTCGGATCGGAATTTCGGATACGGATATTTTTGAACACCCCTACTTGTAAGTTTACGCAAATTTATATTTTTCCGTAAATCTTGATAACATATCCAAAAAACAAATACGAACATTCATGTGTTGTTCTCCCATACATCTTCCAATATTCATTTGTTGCATTGTCGGTGATACCGCATACCAAAAGCCTAATTATGACCTCACACTTTTGTATGCCAAATATACTTTAGCTTCTCAATTCAATTTAATGAATTCATTAATATCTTCCAAATTGTTAGCTATACGTAGGAATAATTGTCTACTCAAACAGAATCTCTGTTGAATGATGTATAGTTGTACAAGCAATCATCAACAGAATAAAACATACTAGAAATTCGTATACATCTGCACGATATCTATTTATTACAACCATAGTCCTTATTAGGGGTGTTCGCGGTGCGGTTTAAAGCCAAAACCGCAAACCGCACCACATATGCGGTTTGAGCTTTTCGAAAACCACAAATCGCGCCGCGAACCATGTAAACCACATTATGCGGTGCGGTGCGGTTTTAGGCGGTGTGGTGCGGTTTATGCGGTTTGAAGAATTATATATATGTTATAAAAGTATTATACGATATAATAAAAAAAAAACATATAAAGAATTAACAAAAAAAAAAAAGATGTTTATGATAAATGACACATACAGAAGTTAAATTACACAATTATCAATAATTTGAACGAAATAAAAACTTCATCTTAGTTATGAAATCAATTCAATCCATATCTTGTATCCTTCAATCTTCCATTTGTGCTTCGTTTATTTACATGTATGAGCAATTGGTTATATATATATATATATATATATATATATATATATATATATATATATATATATATATATATATATATATATATATATATATATATATATATATATATATATGTGTGTGTGTGTGTGTGTGTGTGTTGCATTGTGGTTTGAACCGTGGTTTCATATTTAAAAACCGTAAACCGCACCGCGTAGTGCGGTTTGACAAAATTAGAAACCACAAACCGCACCGCGAATGTTAGAAACCGCGTTATGCGGTGCGGTGTGGTGCGGGCGGTTTATGCGGTTTGTGCGGTTTTTTGCACACCCCTAGTCCTTATGCCATCCGAACTTTTTGCTTCTTGATTGAAAATGATGCCTACATTTTCAACGAATATGATAAAAAAAACATATCATCTTCTGATGGATATGACAACAAAAAATTCTATTTTTCAATTGTTTTGTAGGATGCTTATGAGAACAGAAGCATGAAATGTTTGTTTGATAAGTTTAAATTTGTACCCAATAACCTAAGACCTAAAAAACTAGATTCAAAAGTGTTATCTAGTCACTCAAATATTCAGAGTCACTTGATACAACCATAAACCATTTGACCTTTTCTTCTTCATAAAAGTCATGAAAACATATGTACTCATAACCTAACCTTAGAGCCAGAAAACCCGAATAAAATCCACCAATATCTTATGCTTTCCAAGTAAAGATTCTTTCCAAGATAGTACTTCAAAATCGACATTATTATGATAAACAAAACCAACATTACAATAAATTCAAGAATCCCATATCCCATATATATAATCAATGAAGTTCAACCTTAATATTAACATTCCAAAACCCGGAGTTTTATACACCATACAACACAAAAAGAATGTATGTACAGAAAGGTTTCTGAGAGCTTACAAAACGGTTTCTTTTTTCTTTAAAAAAAAAAAAAAAAAAAAAACAGTCGCGTCTCATAAAACAACAACAAAAGCAACCGAATAGGTCTAATTCCCTATTTGTAGTTTATATATAACATAAACATCACCAGTCTACTTAACTTTTGATATTTACCATAATTTTCATTTTCTTTTAATAAGAAAAATAAAAAATAAACATGCCTAAGAGTTTTCACGGTTTCCTTGTGCAGTCAGCCCTGTGCATTTGCAAACCGGGCATGTGTTTTTAACGGTTAGCCATTTCTTGATGCAGTCCACATGGTATCCATGGCTGCAATCCAGCATTCCGATTCTTTCTTGATCATTGTATTCCATCTGTGATACACAAATCATATGTTGAATTAGTATGATGGAATCAAGGAAGGAATGGAATGACTGATTCCATTCCATGCAACCAAACATACCCTTAAACCCATAAGCTAAATAAGAGTTTTTCTTTAGACTTAAGACTTAATGAATAAAGATGAGTTACTAAAGAAAATCAAGAAATGAGACTTTCTGTAAGTTTTTACGAATTTGCCCTTTTACCTGACAAATTGTGCAGAAACTAAGTTCTTGATCAGGAGATGAAACAACTTCCAACTTAGAAGACATAAATACCCTTGTTTTCAAATAACCTGAAATAAAATCCTCTGATAATCCCGATCCAGCATTCCCAATCTGCTCACCTAATGCAAGAAGCTCCTGCAAATACACAAAAGGTCATTTTCGTAATTTGACTAAAAAAGAAACCAATCTTTGTATACCTCATAAGACATATGATCGATATCCATACGCATATCTCTATGATGATCAACTCTACGTCCATAATTAGAAATATCAAGCATCGCAACACCCTATTAATAAAAAAACACATAAATTAATAGAAGGAATTTTATTTTCTTGCATGATTTGATTATGAAGAGAGTGATATTTAATAATAATACATCTTCAGGAAGAACTCTTAAATGTGGAAAACCACGTGGTCTTGAAGTTGACTCGAGCTGATGTGGCGGGAACACCCTAACACCGAATTGTGGTGCGGGACCCACGAATCTTGGAACAAATTCTACCCCGTTTTGAAGAGGGTGGAAGTCCATGGTGGCGCGAAGTGGCGGCATAGGTGGCGGTTGTTGATGAGATGGAACTGGAGGATGAACAAATGTCACCGGAGCTCTATTTGTATATCCTGCATTTTAAAATAGAAATTAATCAAACCATAAAAGGAAGATATTGTTCATTTTATAATTTATAATTTATAATTTATAATAGTAATATTAATACCTGGAATAAAAGGGATTCCGGGGGGATTGCTGCAAAAGGGCTGGTCTAACCAAGGGCCAGGAACCACCCCATGGGTGATTGGACCACGGTGGTGCTGGTGTCCAGGTGGCATGATGACAGGGGTAATATTGTAATCTGGAACCATGAAGGGATTTGAGGTAGGTGAAGGGTAAAAGTATTGAAAGTTAACAGGGAAGACTTCGGTGATCTTTCCTTTGAATGGACCATGGAATCCGTGATTACTGGGGAATGTTAATTGATTATGAAGACCGGGAACAGGAACTGGAACAGGAATCGGAATCACTCTGGCACCTGGTGGTGGAGCTGCCATGAACGTGATTCCTGGTGGTGGAACTGGTAGATGATGATCGTTGGGAAGAGGAAAAGTTGTTATTTGATTATAAGGAATTGCACAAGGCTCGGGATGAAGGTGGGCATGTTCAATTTCATTGTCGATCATTGGACCGGTGTACACCATGTTCCGTTGCCCCATTTTAAACGATAAGTTGCAGGTCAAACCTGATGAATCGATTCAAACAACACGCGTTAATGGTTTCTTGTTTCTTTCCATGTCTGCAATTAGTTTTCTGTTAACCCTAATAAACGAAATTCCGCACAATTTTTCCTAAAATATGCTCGATTTCTATAACATACGTTCGATTGAGCACGAATAAGCTAAGATTATACATTTGTGTATGCAATTCGTGTGGATATTCAAGAACTAGAGCAGGAATTCAACGAAATTTGAGCATTGCCCCAAAATTTTCACACATCAACGACCAAACATGAAATTGAGAACCTTCGATCTCACAACCAAACTTTGACCAAAAAAGTTGCATTTTTTCGTGTTTACTTCCATTTCGCGCATCTCAAACAAAATTGCGTACTTTGATAAAGATAGCCATCAAAACGAGCAAAAATTTAGATAAATTTTCCGAAAACAAGCTTGAAAGATTAAAACGTTTGTACCTTCTTATCATCAACGGACACCAGAACTTGAATTAAGTTAATTTGTGCCCCTTCAACCGAAAAGCCCTAATGTTGCATTCCAAAAAACAAAACCAATGATCAAAATACAATAATCAAACGAAATAACATTTTACTTGAAAGCAATTATGAATTATGATGCATGTGTTCGTTAACACCATTAATTTCATCGTCCCCATTTCGTGTATCCCAAAACCTCAAATTGCGAAGCACCCATTAAACCAAAATTGATCAAAATCAAGAAGAGATTGAATGAAAAACAAACCTAATGAGGGTTGATTGTGGGGTTGAAGAGGGATAATGGATCTCAATTTTATTTTCTTCAGAACGATAGAAATTTGATAGATGATATGGAAGAAAAGCGCCTGTTTTACCGTTAATTGCAAATCTGTTTTCCTCATTTTTCCCCAAATACATTACTTGATTACCTTTCGTTTATGTGATTTATTACGATTCTGCCACACGTTAAGTGCTTGTGGGCGTTTTCCTTTTAATTACCACCCTTGTTATTCAATATATTAACGATCGTGCCACTAACTGCAGCTTTGTCTGTATTCGTTTAGAAGATCCAGTGAAGTGTTTGAACATGTGTTCCCTTTATAGAATGCCCATTGTTTTTGCCTTTATTACGCTTATGCCATTTAGGGAATATACGACATGCTTGTGCGTTGTGCGCGTTTCCCCCATGGCCAATAGCCACTGTTTTGCAATGTATTACGATACTGCCATTACTTCATAAAACTTTTGTAATTAAAAATGTTTTAATGAAGTTTAATGCTTGATTAAACCGAAATTTTATTCATCAAAAATAATTTATTTATTGTACCATACCAACATTATGCATATAATATGAATATTGATTCGTGTTTGTGTTGTGTATGTGATCATGTGACCATGTTGAAATGAAATATTAATTACTTGAAGTAACAATATAATTTAAGTAATATTTGATTTAACCGTTGTATATTAAAACTTGTCATGAAATTCATTCGACTTATGAATAAGTATTATTTTAGAGTAATGAGTAGGATGTGATACTTTGAGTTATGTGAAAAACTTAAACTCTTCATGAAATAGAACTTACAAAAAAAAAACATCACTACAAAAGTCACTATGCACTCAACAATTGAAACCTAGAGATCTAAAGGAGAAAAACAACTCTGATAACTTAGGAAAAAACTTAAAAATGGAGATGAAAATTTAGAAATGTGTGTGTGTGTAAGTATCTAATGAACTCTATGTTGCATATATACAAAAGACTTATATAGTGTATGCTAGTTACAAAATATCAATGCTATATTGATTGGGGAGAAACACGAATACATAATCCAATTGTCATCAATTTTACATATATATCTACGACTGTTACTAACAAGTCCATTAATGCAACAACAAATCCGATTCTCTTTGCTTATCTCTGGAGTCCAACAATCCTCCAATAATCCTCACTAAAGTAGACCAAGTTAACACAAACTTTTCCATCAATGTTAAGATTGATCATGTTATGTCTTTCTAACACCCCATAAGCTTAGCATTGAAAACTTTAAAAAAATCATTAACAACGCCCATTTCTATATATAAAAGTTTAGGTCGACTAGAAGTTAGCGATCTGTTTAAGACTACCAACATGTTGTTTTTATGAATCAATTTAACAATTTTTAAATATCTTCTGATACTTTTTCACGCACAAAATATACATCAACTTCAAAATACATAGTTTTTTTCCGGGAAAACAAAATTTAAAGTAAACTTAATAACAAAACAAAGTCATCATCACAAATTTTTATTAACAGTTAATTATTTTATACCCAAATCAAACAAAAAATTCAAAATCCACATACCTTACAAGGGACTGTGGCAAGTGCTCTATATTTATATTCATTTGAATACCTTGAAAGAATATCTTGTTTCTTGCCTTTCTAATAAATGAATATTTCCTAAATAGATACAATATCTACTAACATACGTACAAATAACATTAGATCTTACTTCATAAGGCTATGCATGGATCGACTCGATGTTTATACATCAAATCAAAAATTAGGATATGTAATGGTTAAGTATATTAATTTTATAATTAACTTTGAAACTCAATTATATTTTTTTACAACTCATCATTATCATCAATCTCATAGAACACTCTAATTCTTTTTAAGTAATAACTTGTAAAAATAAAGGAATTTCTGATAAAATCTCAATGTTTTAGGTCAATTTGCGGTTTAATCTTAACTTTATTTTTTAAACATAAAACTGATTATTTTATATTTTATCTAAATTAACAAAAAAATCCTTATTTTTTAACAGAAAATGACATATTATCGTATAAAATTAGATAACAAAACTTTTATGTTAAAAAAATAAATATTGTAATTAAATTTTAAATTGACCTAAAATAATGAAACTTTTATTGAAAATTTCCTTAAAACTAATTTCTTTCATAAATAAAATGTACTTTCAAAATCCATTAACAAAAGGTAACAATTTTACCAAAACTCAAACACGAGGTTTATTTGTCAAAACACAAAAGCATCATTGAAAGTTTTAGAATTTAACAAAACAAACATTTTCTCATCATCCATCCATTTTATGATCCTTGAGCAATCAAAGTGAGTCTTCACTCTGTGATTTGCTTGTTGAACCTGAAAATGTTTAATAACAACGAGTAAGTGAAATGCTTAGTGTGACATTCCAGATTTACGGCCATTTAAAAACTTTTTTATGTTTATTTTAAATCAAAGTGTTCTTTATGTAATATCTCGTTCATTAAATAATTAAATTGATAAAATTAACAAATGAATAGTGGCCCTAAATCCGTAAAAAGTATCCATGTTTGTCAAAAGTAGTTAAATGACGTAAATTCTGGAAATTGAAATCTCTACTGTAATAATTGGTTTTGAATTGTAACAAATTGTGGGAAGCGAGGACTAAAGAGTAAAAATGGGGATTTAGATTGTAAGGATTAGAGAAGGAATGATTGAATGTGTCAAAATTGAGATCATGGGGATTAAAAGGTAATTTTTGGATTAGTCTTGCAAATAATTCTCAAAGTGGAGGGATGTATGGTAACTATTGGACTTCATTTGAAAAAGAATTGATTGGGAGGGACCAGAAGTGGATAATAGAGCATATGTTTGAAATGGATACAGGATTAAACTCGTGCCTTCCCCTTGTCGCATCGTGAAATCCTAAACCTAGGAGACTTTTCAGCCGCCGCCATGCATGACTCCTTCAACCGCCACCATTTTCATTCGCTTTTCCGATCAGACAAGGCAGCCAAGCGTCTACCTCGCCATTGAAGTGCCACCACCACAACTTTGCTGTTGGATATCATGGGCAACCGGAAAACTATCGACGACTGCGAAACATGTTGTGGGCGTTGATGTGTAGGTCACAAGCAATTGAAAGCTCTCGGTAAGGTATCTGCGACCATTATCTCATTTCTTTTTTCATTCCGACAAGTGTGATGTAGGGTACGCCCAAGCTGCCCCTACCGGCCTCGACCGTTGTTTCCATTAGCTTCGTCATTGCCAACCGTCAACTCGGTGGCTGAGGGCCATAGTTTCTTGATGTATTCTACGTGTGATGTTGCTGGAACTCGTGAAGAAGGTTGGCCGGAGACAAGGCGAACCACCATGGCAGCCAACCATGGTGGCTGTCATTTTCTGCCACCCATTGCCGCCACCAGCCACCGTGGGAGGTGGTTGTGTGTGTAAACTATGTGTGTGTTTTAGTCGTGAGTGTTATATCAACTTTTCTTAGTGAAGAAAATCACTGCCACCATCGTGAGGTGGTAGCTCTCTTAGTAAGTCGCCACCACCCGAGGTGGCAGTAGGTAGTGCTTGACATAGTGAAATGCTAATCGGCCCAATAACTTAATCTTGGACCTAGTTGGCTAGTGAATGGGTTGGAAACCCTAATTAGGGTTTAGAAAACCCTAATTTTGGAACTATTAGTTTGGGATTTTCCAGGACCCGTGTTTGGACTGTTAGACTGGAATTTTAGTTTATGTCCAACTACATTATATGAATGGCCTAGTGGAGTGAAGGACTTAATGGATTAATTCCTTAATGGGTTAAGTAAGATCACTTAACCCTAATTGTCATTTCATGTTGAAAACCTAATCTATGTGTGGGCTTCAGGTTGGGTTTAGATGTTTGGACTCTTGATGGGCCATCTAAGAACAAGTGTATCGACTAGAATATTTGGTTTGGGTTTTAGGATAAGGCCCAATGGAAAGGCTTGGGCCCAATTTGGAAAATTAGGCCATAGATGGGCCATAATTAAGCCTTGATGATTATGAGTTATTGGACCATTGGAGTGGAGTGCCAAGTGTTTGGACCAGAATAAATGGTTGGGCCTTAACGTAAGGCCATGTGGGGGATTTGGGCTCAATTTGGAAAATTTGGCCATAGTTGGGCCTTGGTAGATTATTTGATTTTTGGGCCTTTAGAGTATGAGTTTGGGCCTTGGTCTTGGACAAAGCTAGGTTAGGCTAAAATGGTGTTTTTACCCCAAGTATGGACTTATGGTTATGTATTGGAACCCGATTGTTAATTTGGTTTATTTTGATGTTGACAGTTCAGGAATCTGTCAGCCAGCAGCTAGGGATCGTGCAGTGCGAGGTGAGTTTCCTCCTGGTTTGAGTGGGTCTAAGGCACCAAGGCCGACTCGTATATGTTATGTGTGTTGACTAGTAGTTAAATGTGGGCAGGACCCGTATCTTAGCATTATTTGAGTATGGATATGGATTGATAGGTTTGATTATAGTTGTTGTATGTGTGATACTAGTATGTGTTTCTTAGTAGCTGAGTGTGGGCGAGTCCCGTAGCTCATAATTAGCTGAGCGTGAGTGAGGCTTGTATCTCATTATTACCTTAGTATAAATATCAGTCGTATTGTTGGATTTCTATATTTGCTGTCTGTGAGATACATGTATGTGTTGTTTGGAAGGTGAGTATGGGCGAGGCTCGTATCTTATCATCAGCTGAGTGTGGGCGAGGCACGTATCTCATAGAGTGTGGGCGAGGCCCGTATCTCATAGAGTGTGGGCGAGGCTCGTATCTCATTAGTACTTGAGTATGATTAGCAGTATGCTTGGTAGGTTGTAATACTTGTTGTTTGTGTGATACATGTATGTGTTAATTTATGTATGTGAATGTGGACGGGGCCCGTGGGCGGGCCCGTATCTCGTTTGGGTGGGGCCCTCATGCGAGTGTGGGTGGGGCCCGTATATCACAGATATGCGAGTGTGGATGGGGCCCGTATCATCATTATTGTATGATATGAATAGTATGTAGTATTTTGGGGAGACTCACTAAGCTTCGTGCTTACGGTTTTCAGATTTGGTTTCAGGTATTTCAGTTTTCAAAAGAAGAGCTCAGGATGATTGTAGTACTCACACCATTTGTTTAGCCTGGGATGTTTTTCAC